GGGTAATTGGGCATCTGCTGCTATGTATGTTTTTATTATAATATGCTGATGGCCATCAAGAGGATCTGCAACAAAATGCAGGTGCATTGTCTGCATATTCATAAAGATTAATCTTTCCAACATAATGTCCTACAGAATGTTGGACTATAATTCTTGGAACTGCAAACTAGTAATGCTAATTAGTAATTACGGACATTTATAGGACACATTTACAGAGTGCCAGGTTGAGGGCGGCAGGCAAAAAAGGAGAAAGATATGAGTGGAGAGGCAACTTCAGCAACCATATCCCTGCTGATTGGCATGCTGGAAACAGGCCACAGCCAGGAAGCCACATGGTGGCTAATCTCTAAAAGACTAGGGGAAGGAAAGCCATTAGAACCAGCCCATCAGCTAATTACAAGAATGGGCTGAGCCATGGGGTAAAGACCTCCAGAGACAATGGAGAAAAGTGAGAAGGGACCTCCTGCAAACAGGAAGAAGCAAGCACCAGCACTCTTACTGAACCCACCTGCAACACAGCCAGATCAAAGACCACTCAGCAACCTTCTCCCCCAAAAGGACCAGACTCCACATGGCACCAACAGAGATGAGCTCGTTGCAGCAGGAGCAGACATCTGGATGTGCCATCTGCAATGACCCTCCTATGGCCAGACTCATTGCAAAGCAACAAAAGGAGGCACAGCAGCACTCAAGCCCTCTAGGCTGTGACAAATAAACTATATCTTCCTATTTTGCATTGGCAGAATGGATGCAAGAAAACCACAGGACATCAGTTACGAAGGTATGGCAGGTGAGTGAAGGAGGAGTGGGAGAAATATGCACCAGCCTAACAAGGTCTAAAAGGGCAGCTCAGAGACCAAAGGAAGGAAAGGCTGCATTGTTCAGGTCTACCCTTGCAGAACATGGGAGCCACAAGCAGCCTCATGATGCACTCCCCAGCCCAATCTTAAACCATTTCATGGCAAGTAGAGGCCATTCCAGATGAGTAAGGAATAAAAAATGGCTAGCTACCCTTGCTTTCAGAAGCTCATTAAGTGAATTCCGCTTACAATCCTCCTCACATTCATGAAGTAAAGGTAAAAAGGAAAGAGCAAGTCATGCAAAAGCTCTTGGAGAGAAGATGCAGGAAGGAGATGGACATTCTGGCAGTATCAGAGGTGGAGAAAAAGTTTACAGAAGGAACAAGATCCTCAACCATTAATACCCTAAGTAATGAGGAACCTCTGAATCCTCAGATGAAGAGAGAGTTACACAATAGGGCTCAATCTCATCTCTCCTGAGGCTCAGCTTTCAGATGATGAATTTATGCAATTCACAGAGTCTAATGCTCTGCTTATTGGTGATACCTAATAAGCCATCAAAGACTGAAAAACCCTACAGTCAGTGCCTGCAAGGAATTGATGATTCTATAAAAGGATTTCTCACAGGCTCCAGGGTGAAGCTCCAAGTGCCTTTTGTGGACTTCTCCACACAGATAAGAAGTAGTGGAAGGTACCCAGCCAAACTCAGGGAAGGCATGTCTGAAAACTGTTTACAATTTGCAGAAAGATTCACAACTTGATGGTGGCATAACAGGGCCTGTGGCTGATGCACTGAAAAGCAAATCAAGAGCTAACTACACAGCAAAGCCCTTCTTAGAAAAGAAGCTATTTGGGAAGCTAATTGAGGAGTTGTTTTATTTAGAGACCGATTGTCCAATATATAGTACACTTGGAGGAAAAAAGAATAAAAGAGGAGGAACAACAAAGTAACAATTATCTGAGTTGTATAATAGACTAAACAAACTATTCCACATTCAGACAGCACATACGTCTTTTAAGTTAACAATGCCAGAATTAAACACCTTTACAGCAATAGCAATTGAGCAGAACTTAGCAACCATTCTGGAGATTCTGGAGATGAAGAAGCTAATAGAAGGGATGTGTTTTCCTTATCTGACCTGCCAGCACAATTGGCTGATAAAAGCTCTATTAATTCAGAACGCCAGGCAAGACAAAATGGGCAATGCAATAAAACATGTGAGATTGACTTGATCACCCCTTCCAGATAGGAGCAAAAATGAACTTGTAAAGAATTTATATCTCAGATCTAAACCCTTAGATGGCAAGGGTTCTTTATCCTGTATTTAGACCAGGATAAAGCTGTCCTGTGCAGGACAAAGTTGTTAATAAAGTACTGGCTGGGATAATAGGTTTTCCAAATGAGCCTTCTTTACAATAATAATGGAGTGTTTATTTATATTTTGCTTGCTGTAAAGTCACAGACAAAAAATTAACATAAAAATTAAAACAGGCTACATGAAGATAATTTGGCAAATTCATGATTATGTATATATCAAAGTCAACATTTTGCAACAGAAACTGCAATGGCGCAAAATTTCATGACTTTCACAGAAATTTTACTAGAATGATCACATAGTAAGGAAGCACATGATGTACACTTGCTTTCCCTCTTCCTTGTGGCAGTGATCAGGGATTTCTTTTTATCCTTATTTTCTACTAGGACTGAAGAGAGCTGACTGAGATATAAAGCAATGCCTTGACCCAGATCTCCAGAAAGACCAAAATATAGCCCAATGTTACAGATGCAGAGTTGAGACCATTGCACATGTTCTGCTGAGTTGCCTTTTATACCACGCCTGGTGCTCAGAACTAATTTCAGCCTTCATTAACAGATACTTGGCATAAACTAGATATGTGCAGGGCTCTAAGGATATACCCCAAAATAATTCTAAAAGGATGAAAGGGTAACAGTCTACAGGTAGTCCTTGACTTATGACCATTTGTTTAATGACCATTTGAAGTTACTAGAGTGCTGAAAAAAAAGACTGACGACCAGTCCTTGCACTTACGACCATCACAGCATCCCCACAGTCACATGATCAAACTTCAGGCGCTTGGCAACCAGCATGTATTTATGATAGTTGCAGCATCCCAGGGTCACGTGATCACTATTTGCGACCTTCCCAGGGGGCTTCCAACAAGCAAAGTCAATGGGGGAAGCTGGATTCACTTAACAACTGCATGATTTGTTTAACGACTGCAGCAAAAAAGGTAATAAAGTCAGGCACAACTCACTTAATGACTGCATCCAGTCCTAATTGTGGTTGTAAGTCAAAAGCTACCTGTATTTGTTTCCTACAGAACAGGATATGTGGGGATACATCAGCAGATGGATTACAGAATGTCTTTCTCTGGTACATTCAGCCATAAGAAGCAATTAGATGGGTTTGTGTCTACATTTACAGCTTTTGGTTGCACTATATTACAGAGGGTACTTAACTATCACACTGACTTTCCCTAGGAATACAGTACTTCTATCGTATATCCCTTTCCTGTTGTCTCCAATTTCAGTGACTAAGAGTGGTAGCTGGACTTACCACAAAGAACCATTCTGGTCACTGAAAACTGGACCTGACAATCCCACCCTACTCAAGCTGGAAACAAACTCTCAAATGACCAAGGCACAAACCACTAACCGCATTACTATGTTTATTAACTATTATACCTTGCTCCTGCATTTTTTGTAAGTTCTTGCCACTAGAGAGTCCTATTGTTGTAGTGAATTATTCAGTAACGAAGTGGAAGTATGATTAACTAAAATCAGTACACGTGACTAAATGGAAGTTGTTTCCTCCATGGGACAGGAAGAAGTCTTAATCCTCTCTTCCAGCCTGAAGTGGACTTTCCTGGCAAGTCCACTTGGAGTGAACAGAAAGATAGCTAAGTCCAACTAACCTTCTCTTTCACATTAAACTCTTTCCAAACTGCATCACTAAAAACATATATACAGTGGTACTCGGAATACGAACTTAATCCTGTCTGTGACTCTGGGCGTTTCCCGAGTTGGTCGTAACCCGACGCAAATTTCCCCATAGGGTTCAACG